ATATAAACATATTAAATTTTTTTTTAATCAAGAATTCTAATGTTCTAAAAAATATTTCAAAATTTCCTGATCGTTTTCAATTTTCTTGACATTTCCTTGATTTTCAGTTTTATAGCAATCTTGATTTTGTATAAAAGTGATCTAACACAATAATAATGACAGTATGCATCAATATTTTTGTATTTTTACAACCTTACACGATCATTAACGATATATTTTACTTTAAGTTTACGTACATTATCAATTGTATTGTAACATACTTTGATAGAGTCTAATAAAGCAATACTGATGCTCGAGAATCAAGATCCAGATTAGAATTCTACGTTAACTCATCAATATTAACCACACATAATCAGTAATATTGTCAGCATTTGTTAATACTGACAGTATTATTGACCGTGTAGGGTCATCTTTTCCGGACAACACGCATATCTGGGAACGTCTAAAACGTTTCAATTTTAGATTCTTTATTATCCAAGTTCAGTTTCCATTAAAACGCGAAAAATATATAATAAATATTAAAACATTTATAAATATAAATAAATAGAATACTTCATCTACAAATCATTAGATAAAATCCTTAATAAAATTTTACTTTCTAAGAAAGAACAAATTTATTTTCTTACATTTAAACCGTTTTCTAATAAAAATAAATCGTCGCGCTCAAAGGTTCCAACTCGCGAAAAACTTCGAAAGGAAAAAAAAAAATCAAGCGCGCAGAAAACGCAAATGAAACGTCCTCTCGTAGCAATCGTCGAAATCGCGCCGTCAGATCGGCTGGCAATATCGCTGCCTATATTACCACACGATCGTACATCAATTCACTCGGTGACACAACAAAAGCACACCCCTCGCGGCAACTCGCCCCCTGCCCCCTTTCACTTTCGCGCTACCTAATGAAACCCCTCTCCCCGATACGAGGACGGTAGAGTCGGGGTGTGATCACGCGCGTGTTACCCGCGAGAGGAACTCGACGGGGCACCTCCGGCGGTCGATGCCGCCGACGAGCCGTCGAGGGTACTCACCTCGATGGCGACGCAGGACATGATCTGCAACGCGAGCGGCACCTGGAACGGCTTGTTGTGGTCACGCTCATAGATGAAGCTTAGAGGATCCGAATCCGTTAGGCAAAATCGGCAGACGCGCCGCGAGCGTAGCGGCGCCGGCCTGTTCTCCATGTCTGCCGGCGTCTTTTCGCTCTCGCCGCCTCCTCCTCCTCCTCCTCCTTCTCCTCCTCTACCTCTTTGGTAGCGTGTTCCGATCCACTCCACACGGGCTCTCACCGATGCGCTTCGTCCCCGCTCGGCAATTCCGCGCGATTAACTACTCGAAGTACTCGCAGCAACTCTACCGCCCGACCACCGAGATCATGAAATTCGCGGATGACTCGCGCGGCTGCTACTTCGACTCACTCGTTAGTTGCTCGTTCGCCCGCTCGCTTAACTCGCTCGCTCACTCGCTCAACGACGCCGAGCGTCGGTAAGCGTCGTGTATTTCGCCTTTCTCACCGGGGAATAGCGGGTACGCCGCCACGGCGCTTTATAATGGCGGAAGAACTCGGAACAGGCTGGCCAAACGCGCGTAGAGAAGACGCGCCGTCGTCTTTGCACAGTGGCGCCGAGCAAATGGTCGCTTGGACACGTGGCAAGGATGAGCCGCTCGGCCGATAAAGTGGGGACCGCATTTGCCAGTGATCAGTACCGGAGCAATTTTAGTGATACCTTTTACAAAGAGATGGCGCACCTGTTCCCCTTTTTTCGCGCTTTTTTCGCTACTTCACTATATTTTTGGCACCTTTTTATAGTTGTTTGTGTATCAGTAAGCATAGACATAATAAAGAGCTTGGCACAATAAAAGGAACAGGGAACGTAGAACAGAAAATAAGAATTTCAACATATCAGAAATCATGTATTGTGGAATACACGGTTTCTCTGATAGGTATTGAAATTCTTATTCTCTGTCTCTTTTTCCTATTCCTTTTATTGTGCGGAGCCCTTAAGAATATACCGAGCGTGAAGTTTGAAGTGGGAAAACTAGGTAGAAAAGGACGGACAATGGATGCCGTGCAAAGAGTAAAGAGAAACAGGAGAGAATGTATCAATAGTGGGGGTAGCTAAATCCACGGACGGATGTACGTCATGGTAGCCATTTTAAGCGTCCACTTTTTATGCTAGTATATATAGTCACTTCCGTCCGCTTGCTTAGAACCAAACATTCCATCCTGTTTCTCTTTACTCTTTGATGCCGTAGGTCTGTTCGCGTTGCATAAAATCCATAAATATCTTTGCACTTAAAATGAGATAAATATATATTTGGCTTTAAAAAGAGAGAAAGCGAAGATGCCGAGTGCAAAAAGTGCGAGCAACACGAACAGATCTCGTGTAACTTTCTCTTTCTGACGAGGAGTGGGGGAGAGGAAGCAAGGTGTGAAAAAAAAGAAAAGTAGAGAGACGGTTGAGTGTAACAGAGAGAGTGACATGCTTGAACAGAGAAAGATACACGGTATCTCCTCTCTGTCCTTTTTACCAGATCTTCAGGGTGATGTCCCATACAGCGGATCGTGCGTAAGTGGATTATTTTAATTAATAATTCTCTTAGATCTGCTTGCGAAATTTGCAAACAGATCTAAGAGAATGATTCTGTGAATGGCGAATACGCGAATCCGCATCACCCTCACGCCAAAGTAGAGGACACGCTCGGTCTATTAATAGGCCTGTTTTTTTTTACTGAACTTTTGCACCAATTTATCTTTCTTCCTCTCGAAATTATTTCGTTTTTCCCAGAAAACACAATAGAAATCTAGGGAATAATTGAATAATTCCGATCGGAATCTATTCGGAACATTTTCACAAAGTCCATTCTAATTAGACGCAAGCCGATCGCAAGTTTGTTGCAACAGCAATCTGAAGCTTGTATTTTGAAATCAACGCTTCACAATGATTGTCGCAACAAACTTGCGATCGACTTGCATTTAATGTATAGAATGGCTTTATAGATGGTAAAAATCAATACATTACCGGAGATACAAGCAAAAGAAAACAACAGATTAAAAATATCCGCTGTGTGTGCAAAGGGACACTTTTAAGTTATGTACTGAGATTTGATGTTCACATTTCCTTCTTTAATGTATGAGAAATAACAAAAAACGTATTCATCACATTACTTATTGTTAGCCTCTACGGCACCGGCCAGTCACTATCAAAATTAGCGGTATGTATGAATAAGACCGTACTTGTAGATGTCGTACGGTAAAACCACTAGTTGTGCATCGCTCATTAAAAAAAATTTATATTTTTATCCAGAACAATATCAAACAAGCAATAAATATTTAATAATTATAATTAATCATGAAGATTACACTATGAATGATTTTATATCATTTTATTACCGTTTTATGTGTTTTAATTTCTATGAAATAAAATAATAACAATTATATACAATTAGACCCCATGTACTAATTTCGGATCAATTCACCAAACGTTTTATCTTTTTGGTGGCATTACTACATCCCATTAAAATAATAAAAATGATTTGCCCATCATAACACATTTAACAAAGTATAATTGATTATCTACGTATCAAATTCTAAGATCTTCTGGATCATGATGCAATCTTAACATATTAATAATTCATTAAATGTAATACAATTTGAGAAAATTTATTTATCTCAACAACTATCATCGTACGAGGTTCAATAAAAAACAATTTTATAAAAAATGTACTAAGCTTCCATAAGAGTTATTTTGTACGTAAAAATAGCCAAATCTGAGATATTTACGAAAAAATTCCAGTTGTCGAAACGTATAAAAGTAAAACATTCTTTAAAAAATTTTACCACGGAAGGTATTGATCGTACGACTTTAAAATAAACGAAATTGTTTCTAATTTTATCAACTTTCTTTTTTACCAATGATTTTTATTTCATCAAAATGAATATCTTCTGAGATATTTTTGGAAAACCGCATTTTTTATCAGGTTTTTGAAGATGGAAAGTTTTCCAAGTTTGCTGGCGATAATTACTTTTAATATGACGTATAATACGTTGTTTCGAACAAATCCCCTCCCCCTCGCAAATATATCTTTTATGGAAATATTGCCACCAAAAAATATAATTTTCCTGGGCACAGTACGTTTATCAAATTTTCTGTTATATATTTAACATGGAAGCGATATTATATTATTAGATTAGATGAATTATACAGTTCGAAATTTGGTTTCAAATCATAAATTTTAATTAATCTCTGATATTAACATACCAAAATACACATTAAAAATTAAGTTTTTGGAATTGTAATACATAGAAATGGATTCGTGTGCCCATTGCTAAATACAAAATTCTGATTTTTCGGATACTGGGTACGTACGACTTTGTTTATTGTTTCAATTTCCACTATGCTATTATGAATATATATACACAAGCCACACTGGTATTGACTTTCATATTGATGTTCGTTCGACAACATATAACAGACAGAATGAAGAAGTGTCGTCTAGAGTGCTGATTAAAACAGTGTCCAGTCTACAGTCAAGAAAGTTGAATCATATAGAAAACTTATTTTGAGTTCTCCGAACGGATCGTATTGTGTCTATATAACTTGTGGTTTCTTGTACGTCAATATAATGTCAACCGTGGAGATTACGACCGAAAACTATAACTATTATATTACAAATTTAGTCGAGCCTGAAAAATCGGAGTATCATAAGGCCAAATATAGGTGAGACTGGGGTGGGGACTCAGCAAAAAAGGCAATTTTAATTGAAATATGCGTGAGACATATTATTTAGTGCGATGATAATCTTTTAAGAAAAATGTTACGATATACTTTCTACAAAGAAGAATTAAGATTTTTTTGTATAATCCTCATAATTTCTCATCTTATTGTTTATCGTTTTGTCTTTCAAATTTAGAGTCGTTAAACTAAAAAATGGTTTAACAGCTTTGTTAATATCTAATCCAGAAGAAGCAAATAATGACGATACGAAATATAAAGATTATGAAAAAGGTTGTTCTTCAGCTAAACGAGTTAAAAGAGATGTATGGAAGGTATAAACAAGATAATTCAGTTAGCACTTTTGGATACTTCTAGCGTATTATATTTTACATTAACTATTATTAAAAATTAATTGAGATAATAATATCGGAGATGGACTTATAAAATCATAAAAAATAATCTATCTTTTCAAAACTGCGTTCAGAAGCGTATCATTAGTTCAATTGTGTCAATCCATCTTTATCGTTCGTCAGATATGAAAGGATGAAGTGTCGCATTGCGCTAATAACGTCCTCCAGTAATGTTTGATACTGGGTGCGTTCTGTGTTATGCATGAAGCGCGTGATATATCATTTTATCCTTCTTTATTATTTTGTGAACAACAAGGACAAATGATGCGTTTTATGCGTAATTTGAAACGCATCCATTATCAGGAGTACTTGTTTAAAAAACGTGAACTCCTTTATTATCTGTAAATCAGTGTTCATGGATTCGCTTCAAAATGTGTAAACTGTTCACGAATAATCTCACTACTGTTTGTGCTTAATGTATCAATTTAACATTCTGCAACGCAAGTTAAGTATATATGTATATATGTATATATGTATATATATATATATATATATATTTTTTTTTTAACTCAGGCATCTTGTGGCTTATGTGTGGGAGTAGGCAGTTTTAGCGATCCACCGGAAGTTCCAGGCCTGGCACATTTCGTTCAGCACATGGTTGTTATGGAATCCGAAAAATATCCAAATGTACCTTAAAACGATACGTGAATTTTTTATAAAATATATTTTTTGTCCAGTTAAATGTTTAAATATCATTGTATTTGCAGGAAAACGATTTTAAAGGATTTATCAGTCTCAATGGTGGCACTACTTACGCCGCAACAGATTGCGAGCATACAAGATTTTACTTTGATATTCCGGATGCACAGTTGTTGTCAGCTCTCATTCCTTTTAGTGTAACTTTCAATAAAAAAATTCCGATTAAGAAAGAAGCTGTCACGCGGGAGCGAGAGGTCATACAAAAGGGTATATAAATCATAATGGTAATGATGTTGCTAAAACATACGGTTTTTTAATGTTCCTTGTTCACATAGAATTTCAGTTGGGTTTATCTAGTGACAAAAATAGAAAGGAACTATTACTGTCTTTTATTGCTCGAACTGGTCATCCAGCCAGTAAGTTTCTTCGGGGCAATTCCATAGCTTTAAACAATGATATAGATGATGACAAGTTATACGAAGCACTGCACATTTTCAGAGAACGTCATTATAGCCCTCACAGAATGACGCTAGCTATACAGGTAATTATAATGTGTTTAAATTGCGATGAACAATTTATTTCTTATTAAATACAGTTAATTCATAACATAATACATACATCTGCTTATAGGCGAGATTACCGCTAGATACATTGGCAGAGTATGTCCAAATCTGCTTTAGTGATTTACAAAGTAATTGCGAGCCTTCCGATAATTTCGCCGAATTTAAAGACGGCGATTCATTTGATACCGACGGTTTCCAAAGAATGTTTAAACAGATTAAGCCCATGAAAGATATCATGCAAGTATGTAACTTGAACACACGAATTCAAAAAAATCTGTGTGTACTGAACAATGCATATAAAAATAAACCTTGTCTTTTACAGCTACATGTAACGTGGGCTTTGCCTTCACTACTTAATTTGTACAGAAGTAAACCAAGTAAATATATTTCGTGGATTATTGAACATAAAGGAAGTGGTTCTTTAACTAGTTATCTACGTAAAAAAAAGTGGGGCCTTGATGTATTTTGTGGTAACTGTGGTAACGATAATGGTTTCGGAAACAATTCTATGTATGTTTTATTCGAGATTGTAGTAGAACTCACCCAAGAAGGAGCAATACATCGGCAAGACGTTCTAGATGCAATATTTTCCTTTATAAAATTAGTAAAAAGTACGGGTCCACAAGAAAGTATTTATACTGAACTTTATAAGATTGGAAATAATAATTTCAGGTAAATCTATTTAGGAATATGTAGATATGTAGAAGAGAAAAATACTATTAAAATACATAATATATGATACTTATACTTGAAGGCTTTTTTAGATTTTTTAGTAAGCATGATGATGTGTTTGATTTATGTATGAGTATGCATTTTTATCAGCCATGTGATTATCTAACCGGAAAGCATCTTTATTTCGAGTATAACCCAGAAGCTGTACAAAAATGTTTGGATTTTTTGGTGCCAGAGACGGCGATGATCATGATTTTTAACTATGATTATAAATTACATATAGTCGAGCCGGATTTCAAAATTAATTATAGAGATATATCGTTACCAAAGGAATTTATCGAACGCTGGAAATCTATCGAGCCATTATCTGATTTTCAATTACCATTACGCAATGAATTTCTTACCAATAATTTCTCTATCTTACCGGTATCAGCAGAAGCTCCGAAATATCCTGTGAAAATACATCATGATTGTATGTCGGAGATTTGGTTTTGCCCGAAGTTTCATTGGCCGATGTGTCATATAAATCTTCATATTATTGCTTTCCTAAATGGTCCAGTACCAAGGAAGTAAATAGCTTGGATATGTAAAAATATTTATACATTATAGTAGTACTGTGTGTGCAATGTCTGTCGATCTTATATATATGTATTATAAACTTTGATTTGTAATTATTATATGTTATGATTTTTATAATTTAATTTGTTATTAAACTTATTTTATATTAATAACATTTCAGTGCCGTTAACCTGCAATTGTACTGTAATGTATTAAAATATCTATCGCTCGAAGAATTACACCCGGCTGTAACGGCTGGGTTTGCTTACAAGATCGATGTCAATGAAGCAGGTACAGGTATTACAATACAAACAAGCGGATTTAACGAACATCTGTCAGTAAGTTTGCATTTAAAGCGTGTACTGGTGAAGTTATCCCGATGAAAACTTTTTTCAAAATTTTCATATAAATTTCAGAATTTCTATTTAATTTTTCAGAATTTTAATATAATTTTATAACTTTCTTACATTTTTTATACAATTTGGAACACTTCTCAGAAAATCTACAAATTGTCTCAGAATTCTCCATATATTTGTTAATTATGCGATATCGTATGATTTCTAAGATTTTTTGTAAGTTTAATTTCTGATTTAATCTGAAAGTGTTAAAATATTTTTTTTATTTATGGGATGAAAAATTTCGGAATATTTCAGAATTTACATGGATGAAAAAGTCTGAAAGAAGATGTGAACTATCCGACTATTTCATAGTATTTTTCTGAAAGATGTTCCAAATCGTATAAAAATTCTAAGAAAAATTTTCACCAGGATAATATATAGGACATAATTTGGAATAACATAAATATTTTATTTGTCTACTACAGTCGGAGCTGGGTCTTCGTTGCTTTTTAAAATAATTCAATCTTGAATTACTAATATATATTAGTAATTATTAATACTAATATATATTATTATTTTAAAAAAAAAGCAACGAAAATCCAGCTCCGACCGTAATAGGCATTTAAATTTCTAGTATTGATTGAGTTTCTCACATATACGGTCAAAAAAATATAAATATATTATTTTATTTGTATTGCAGTCCTGGTTGATGAATATTGCAAACTATTTAGTGGGTCTAGTCCCTATTTCGAAGGACTTGTTTAAAATTATTAAAATGCAACAATTCAAGAAATATTACAACAAATTTACAGAACCGGAGAAGTTCATCGAGTATGAACTCTTTATTACCAAACATAATTGCAATAATTATAAAATACTTATACAACTAGCAAAAAACAATTAGTGATGAACAATTAATTTTACAAATAGAATTACACTTATTACATTTATTATCATTTTCAATTAATAACACATACATAGCTTTTTTTCGCAGAGATGTGAAATTATGGATACTAAAGTGGGACAGCTATACACATGTTAACAAATACAATTCCCTACGTCTATGTAGTTATGAAAGCTTCCAAAACTTTGTAAAATCATTCACCAATAATCTGTACATCCAATGCCTCGCAGAAGGCAACGTAACGAAAGACTTTACGATCAATATCATACAAGAATTTATCCAAAAAATTAACTATAATTCCTTGAAAAATAGGACGTTTTTTGTTTACGGCAATAAGATACCCCGACACACATCTTATTTAAAATTAAAAAATATTAACCGAACTGATTCAAACTCGATAGTGACAAATTATTATCAAGTCGATTCTGCAACAATTGAATTATCGGTGTTAATCCAGCTGATGCTCGTAAGTACTTAATAACATTCTTTTATACATTTAAATAAATGGAATCTTCAATTTACACTTATTTTTAATAATAAATAAAATGTGAATAACATTTCCGATTATCATTATTGATTTTATTTGACATCACATTCATTTGTTATATATTCATCTTTTAGATGCTAATGAAAGAATCATTAATGAATCATATACGAACCCAAGAAAAGCTTAGTTATGTTTCGTGCAAATTTAATGATATCTACGGTGTGTTAGGATATTCTATTACTCTTTGTACTCAGGCAGATAAATGCACAACCGAATACGTTGACCAACAGATCGAGGAATTTCTGAATTCATTTCGAATCGTGTTGGAACAGTTCTCAGAAAAGAAATTAGATGATGTCAAAGAAGGTCTGAAAATTTCAAAGCAACATGACGATGCCGAGACTCTGAAAAACAGAGTCAATAGACACTGGAGTGAGATTACGAAGCAGCAATACATGTTTGACAGATGTGAAAAGGAAGCGCTTGCATTAAAGGACATAAATATCAATAAGCTGAAACAATTTTTTAGAAGGCACACACTGGACGGAAGTAGTTTCAGAAAATTGAGTGTACATGTGGTAGGAACACCAAAGGAAGTTACAGTCAGTAAGCAGATAATTTTTCTGATTAAACTTTGGTCATTGTCTAAATATTTCTTTTTGTATTATATCATTCTTGCCTTCCATTTCTTTCTTGTTACATTAAATCGAATTTGCTAAGACAATTAAAATTTTTTAAATTAATTGTTATAGATGCAGAGAATCGAAGGCGATATTATTCTATTGAGGAATTGATAATTAACGATTCGCAGTACAATACTGCTACAGATCATCATATTACTGACATAAACCATTACAAATTTATTAGTTGTAGTCGGTTAGTACGTTCATATTATAAGTGAGGAGATTAATCCTGTCGTCCTTAAAGCGCTTATTAAGTGATATTTAATCAATAATGGTACAATGTTGATAAAATTGTGGATATTACTCTTTCAAACTTCTTATTTTAATTTATCATGTTAATTCTTTTCGGGTTCACAAACTTATTATATTATTCATTTTATTACATTTTGTGATTATGTTTTATTGATAAATTACTTTGTTCGTTTACCAATTTCTTCTATTTAACACCTGTATTTTTTGCAATGCGATAATACACGTTCTTATTTATTTATAAAAATTACGCACTACACATACACAATATGCGATATAAAATATATTATAACCTTTAAATTATTTACAATGACGTCGTTTGATTGCGATTGAACAATGTTTTGTTATCGAATATTTCGATGATATACGTTTATAATTGTTTTACTGACATGGAAATTTCTTTCTTGTTTGTTCTATTAGCAATAACGTGCGTTGACTCATTTATCACAGAATTGTAATTATGTGAAATTAGAGAACTGTTATACTATATTAAAGCACAATGTAGATTTGCGCGCTGGAATTTTTCTTTTTGATAATCCTATGTCAATAAATTTACTAATATTTATTTATATACATAGATTTTTTAAATTTGAGATGTCTCTTATTAGAAATGTTAAGTAAACGTAATCTTAATTTATAAATTTAACTAACATAAAGGACTCTTAATGACAAAACAGTATGACGATAAGAAAGACATGTAAGGGTCAATCATATAATTTATGTAAACAGAATATTTTTTAATTTATCACAAATCACAATTATACGGTTACTATTTATTAAATGTCCAATGTTTACAATGGCAAGCAATGCAAATGGACGATCATGACGTTACAAAAAGTATTAAAACACTTTTGTGTCTTGTGCGGCAAGAATTAATTCAAATTATTAGCCGATGATCCAAAAACCATGACGAAAACGCTACAGTCAGCACTGGCACCATTATTTATCTTCGTCTCGTTCTGCTGTTTCGGCTTATTTGAATATCCTCTTGGATGTAATAAAAAATTATGCGGCAAATTGAAAAAAGCTCTTTCAAAAACTATGTTAAATGTAGGAGCTATTTTTATTAAATAAGAATTTAAACGTCTGTAAAGAAATTAGAAGAATAATTTCGCTATATTAATATAAATAAAAACAAATATTTAACCACATCTCGCTTTCTTGATTTTGTACATTTTAAATATAAAAATATTACCTGCATTGTAAATATAATTATAGATCATTAAAAAGTATCTAGTAAAAAGAAAAAAATGCAAAGGTTCTCCTCTTTTCTTTCTTATTTTCTTGCATTTAACGCGTCACTATCGATCTCAAAAAAATGACAACGTAAAACAAATCGATTATCATAATTTCTAATTATCTGATTTAACTTCATGTGTCTGTTCTTGACACTTTTTTTAGAAAAATACGCGTTTTAATTTTGACGATATATATATTATAAATTTTGAAAACGTCACTTTTTTAAAATAAACTTACTCGAGTGTATAAGAAATGTGGCGATTTTTTCTCAAAGCGCAACAGCAGCGCAATCGCGATCTGGATGCTCTTCGTCAGGATATCGACACGGATGTGCATATTAAATCGGCAGCGGATCTACTGCAAAGCTTACAAGTGGATTCTGAACGAGGTTTGTCTACAATCGTTGCGAGAAATCGCCTACTCGATCAAGGACCAAACACATTAACTCTGCCGAAAAAAACCTTAGGGATTCAAAAAATCATGCATCGATTCTGCGGAGGATTTTCCTCATTAATATGGGTAGCAATTTTTAATTTTTCCTATTACGAATTTTCTCTATTTTGAAAACAATATTAAATTAAAATATACAAAGAGAAAAAAGAAAAAAAAAGAGAAAGAAAGCTTTTTCTATAATATTTACTTTTGTAAAGAGTTACGATTTATTTTTTGTTTAATTATGATAAATAATTATTTATTTATTCTCTTTATTTTGTGTAACTATGTTTAAATATATATAATAATAAAAAATAAAGTCCAACAAAATTTCTAATAGAAAAGATTTAAATTTTGAATTTTTTGTATCAGCATTTAATTACTTATCCATTAGGGTAAACTAGAGTATTATGGCCATACGCAAAAGATGACCATAGGCCATAATTTCTCCAATAATTGATAAATAGTGCATTTTTACAGTCATTCTTAAAGATAATCAATATTTACAGTAGTTCATATGAGTACACTGTTCAAAATAACAATATTATAAATATTATCTAATATTTTTTCTTTCGACTATCTGCAAAGTTTTGCACGTGTCTGCTAAAAACTATTACAATGTCGAATAAATTACAGTTAAGCTGCCATAATCAACATTACATACACAATAAAGGTATGTAAATTGCAATGTGACCCATAATTAATACTTTTATTTTCACTATTTATTTATAAACATTATGGCTATCTTTCCGTTATCATGGCCATCTTTTCCCTAAAAATCAGATAAGATGGCAAATGCATACTTTGTAATATTTTGATAAAATTAAAGTTCTGTTAAGTATTTTTTCTTTAATTTCGATAGTATTTGTTACTTTAAGCTTCTGTGAAAGTAATATCCCAAATATTGTTAAAAAGTAACAAGAATAAATGTACGTTTTTTGTATTTTAAAAAACTATGCCATCATACCCGAGTTTACCCTATTTTTAAGATCACATTAATTCTAAATTAATATTTACTTTTTTATTAAATGACATCGTTTTTTTATTTGTTGCATATATTAAATTGTCATAATTGCATGACAATTTTTTGTGTAAAATATTGATTGACTAATAAGAAGAGCAATTTATTGATTATTATCATAGATATATCATTAAAAAGATTTTTTTAACGAAAGCCTTTAAAAAGTTCAAAATATATTTAATTTTCAGGCAGGTGCCATTTTGTGCTTCAGCAACTATTTCTTGGAATTGAATACTTATGGTGAAGCTTCCGAAGATCACCTTTGGATCGGTTTAGTTCTGATTGTACTGATCATGATCACTGGCGTGTTCAGTTACTATCAAGACTCTAAGAGCTCACGCATCATGGAATCGTTCCAGCAGATGGTACCGCAACGTGCCAAGGTTTTACGGGATAGCGAGAGAAAGGAGTTGCTGGCGACCGAGCTAGTAGTCGGGGACATCGTCCTGTTGGAGACCGGTGACCGGGTACCTGCTGACATTAGGATCCTGGAATGTCAAGGTAAAGTGTGTCCTGCCACTGTATTCCATGTGGACTTCTTGCTGTTCTTAGATGGAAAAAAACAAGCCTTTCTTTTAGCGCAAATTCGCATTCACGCGAGATCGACTCGCGACGATTTCTCGTATTGTTTCATCAATAGAAAGTCCAGAGAAGAATTATATTTGAAAAAAAAAACATAAATGCGGAATTATATATCACCGAAAAGGACACAAAACCGGAAATACAATACAAACAATTTGTCAACTTTTATCACCCAACAAGTTTTGTTTTTTCTGTTTAGATAATTAAATTAATATGAGAAATTAAGTATCTAATAATTTTTCTTTTGCACTTCTAACTTGCATTGTAAACACGTTAATTAAATTCAGTTACAGTTAACGAAATCTTATAAAAATATAATAAAAATTGTAAATTTAATAATTTGTAGAAAATAATTTTGTCATTTTAATAAAGGTTTGAAAGTCGATAATGCATCGGTTACGGGTGAATCGATACCATTGATACGAACGGCAAACATTCCGCAAACCGGAAGTGTTATTCAAGCGAAGAACATGGTATTCTTTTCTACAAATGTTGTTGAAGGTACACTATTTAAAGGAAAGAAAAATATTTTACCATAATATCTTCTAATGAATTTGTTTCTCGCTCTCATGAGCATAAAAAATATATGCAAACTATAGCTTGTATATAAGTCTCAATTCTTAATAATTTTAAAAATTTCTCACTTTCAATATTTTATTTTATTTAAAAAACGTATTAAATTACTATTAAATCCAGATTTAGCGAATATGGTAATTGCTATATGAAATATAATTAATTCTTAGGCAGCGGAAAAGGCGTTGTAGTGGCTTGTGGCGATCACACTATAATGGGCAGAGTGGTCAAGTTAACTTCAAGATTACCGACTCGACCTACGCCTCTCTCCAGGGAAATACATCGCTTCATGAAACTAGTCTCATGCTGGGCCATTTTTCTAGGCGTTTCGTTCTTTACCATGTCCATAGCGATGGGACATGACTGGATCGATTCAGTGTTGTTTCTGATTGGTATCATCGTGGCGAACGTGCCGGAGGGCATCGTCGCCACGATGACGGTCAGCCTGACCTTGACTGCCAAGAGGATGGCCAGTAAGAATTGCTTAGTGAAGAATCTCGAGGCTGTCGAAACTCTGGGATGCACTGCCGTTATCTGCAGCGACAAGACTGGCACTCTTACGCAAAATAAAATGACTGTACGATCCATTTCCTCTTTTGCGAAAATCTATTGCAAAAGGATGCATAGTATCTATAAATTTGCTCATTTAGTTTCTTCCATTTTTTACATTTCACATTTCTTTGTTATTCTGTCGTGAACGTGCGCCCATACATATATAATTGTAACGTTTCTAGTACATAATTATAACTATAATCAACTTTATATAATTATAATTAACTTTATTCTATAATTGTGTGTTACATTTATTTTTAAATATTATAGGTATTTACCTTATGATAATTATACTTATAGCGGAATATATTCTTTTATTAACCCTATGTATGTTTTATATATTATTCTCGTCTCTGGTATATTCTTTTTGCAATGAGTAGAATTGCGCAGCACTATCTTTTATGTAAACGGTGTTTCGCTTTGACAACATCGATCATTTAACGTTCTCACTTCGAATATACGATCGAGTTCCTGCCATCACAATTGTGCAACTTCAGGTGCGACACGTGTGGTACAACGGTCAACTGTGCGAGGTAATGTCGTCAGACACGTGGAGGAAATATGTCAACG